CATCTTCTCCAAATCCTTCTCTTTTATGTCTGATTTTTCACCTGCAATCTCTCTCACCTCCTTTTGCAGTTGTTTCATAACATTTGGGTGCCTCAACAGTTCCATCATTGCCCATTCCAGGGATGTGTATGTAGTGTCAGTCCCAGCTGCAAAAACATCCTACAAAACAAACACAGCAAATATTTGATATCTTACTCGATCTAGCCAGAATCGCCCATTTGGATAATTCAATAGTCTCAAGACAAGAACAATATCTCACCAGAAGAAACGCCTTGAAGCCAAACCCAGCAAATTTGAAACCAACCAAAGTTTCCCCTTGAAACCAAAACAAAACATCCACAAAATCCTTTTGCTCTGTGCCATTAACAGAGTCAGTATTTGGCCCTTTCTTTTGTTGAGCCATATGCTCCTCGACTACTCCTTCTAAAAAATCATCAAACTCCTTGGCCACTTTGTCCATTCTAGCCTCCAATCCATTAACATGGCTCACCCAAGCAAGCCATGGAATAAAGTCCCCCACATTGAAAACACCCAAGAGCTCCACAAACTCACTCAAAAGCCTTGAAAACCTCCTTCCACTCTCCCCTCCATACTTTCTTCCCAAAGCCACTCTGCACACAACATTGTTGGTTAGTGTTGCAAACATTTCACTTAGATTTATGGGCGAAGAAGAAGAGCTAGCACTTTCAATCTCATCAATCATCAAGGCCGTTTCTTCTTCTCTCACAGCACGAAAAGACTGGATCCTTTTGTTACTCAGAAGATGCAGCACAGATACGCTTTTCATTTGCCTCCAGTACTCCCCATAAGGTGCAGATGCAATGTCTTTATAATTGTACAGGAGCTTCTACAAGGCTCTTGATCTCGGCCTGTTTGCAAATATGATATCATGGGTTTTCATGATCGCTCGGGCAGCATCAGCGGAGGACACAATAAGTGCCTCGGCAGCACCAAAATGAAGCAGCATGAGTGGCCCAAAGTGCCGAGCTAAGTGCCAAAGTGAGCGGTGAGGGTACAACCCAATGTTGTGAAGGTTTCCAATAATTGGGAGTTTTAGTGGAGAAGGAGGTAATCTTCTTCGTTTTCTGGAAAGACTTGAGATGAGAGATCTGAACAGAGCTATGAAGAAGATGACTAGGATGGTGAATAATAATAAAGAGGATTCATGTTGCCCTACCAACTTATTCAAGCTCAACATTTTCATCTTTCTTCTATGTATGTCGATGATCATCTCTTGAAGATTCATTTAAAGAGGGCCGGATCTCCGGTAGACACTGGATAAGTGTGAAGTTAGTGGTCATAACTGCATACAGCCTACTTTATTGTCAAAGGACTAGTGTATCCTAGTCCAATCCAATGTACGGTGCCATTATACGTGGCTTGTAATTCTTTGGATTGTAGCAAACAACTTGACGTGGGATTCTGGCTAAGCCTATGTTTGGATAAAAATTAGTAAAAAGGAGTGGAGGGGAAGGGCCGGGAGCAGAGGAGAAGGAAAGGAAAGAGAAGTGAAGGAAAAGAAAAGATTGATATTAATTTTGTTTGAGTGGATAAAAGTGAAGAAGAGGGAGGTATAATATTTTTATTTAATTAAATAATTTAATAGAAAATAAAATAGAGAAGAATAAAATTTTTAAAATTTATTAAATAAATAAATAGTTAAAATAAAATATTTATATATTTATTTTTAACAAATTAAAAACAAAAATAAATTATGTAATATAATAAAAAAGATTAAAGACAGAGAAAGGAAGGAGATTTCCATCTCCCTCCATCTCCCTTATCTCTATTAAAATTATCCATTCAAACAAAAAAAAGTGTTCTTTTCCCCTCACTCTTTCTCTCTTTCCTCTTTAACTTCCACAATCCAAATAGAGTCCAGTTATGTGAGGATTGGATTTTTTTTTATGAAAATATCAATTTCACTTTGGTTAAATCTCTAATTTGATCCCTGAACTATTGTATAAACCTTCGATTTGATCCATGAACTAAAAAAATCCATGTTTTGGTCCCTGAACTATTATACGGACCCTCAATTTGATCTTTACTGTTTACTAATTTGCCCCAAATTAGTCATTTCGTACAAAAAAAAAGTTAACGTGTCTAGTATTTAATGGTGAAAAATAGTAACTTAATGGTGAAAAATAATAACTTAATGGTGAAAAATAATAACTTAATGGTGAAAAATAGTAACTTAATGGCAAAAAACAATAACTTAATGGCCATGTATTACATTAATAACGAGATACGTTAGCTGTTTTTGTATAGAAGGACCAACTTGGAGCAAATTGGTAAACAATAAGGATCAAATCGGAGATCCGTATAATAGTTCAGGGACCAAATTAGAGATTCTTTTAATTTAAGAACTAAATCGAGGGTCCATAAAATAATTCAATGACCAAATTGAGGATTTAACCTTTCACTTTCACAGCATATCAACCATGCAAACAAGCTATGGGCTCAATTCCTTCCCAAAATTGTCTTCTCTGAAATTCAAGATATACACCATTAATTTGAGTGGGAGAATCTGATGGAGCAGTGAATATCAAGCTTCAACCATTTCTGACTTTTTATGTAGTGTCTCAATTTATAAAATCCAGCTCCATTCAGAAGAGAGAGGGAAAAAAAAGGAGGTTTCCGCAGTGTAATTCATTGCTGTTTTATGTTTTAAGAATTTAAGAATTTTGGTTTGCTTCAAAGTTTCAATAAAATAAACTGATTTCTAGCATGAGAAAATGGAAAAAAGTGACTTTGACATGTACTATGAAACAAAGTCTTGCAGGAAAGTCCGAACATTATAGAAGAGTGTTGAAGGGTTGAAGCCGAGCCATCCTAAGACCCTTCCTTCACAGTTACGCTGAACAGCCATCAGAGAATCCATTTCCAAGATTAAGTGAATTATTATGCCCAAGCACACTGCTTGCTAAGCGCTAACCTCGACCCTTCTCTACTTGCAGCCCCGTAACCGTGCCATAAAATGCCCCCAAAATGCCTTTTAAAAAATAATTAAATAAATAATTAAAAAAATAAAAAGCCCCTAAAATAGTTACCCTTCAAGATAATATTTACTGTTAAATAAGTCCCTAATGAAACGTTAGTGGCTAAATAAGCTTCCAAAGTTACAATTTGTAATAAATGTGTTGGTCATGTTTGTGAATATGTGGTCCATTGCACATTTACTCTTTAAGCATATTTGACAATTGCTATATATCACAAATTTGAGGGTCTATTTGCCATCAAAGTTTGATAGTTTTAAAAGTAGTTATGTGCATAAACAAACAGAAAATAATGATCACAAGACAAAGGTTTAGTTTAATAACATTGTTTGGTAATGTCATGTAGCTATAACCGTTAAAAGTTCCATGTTATATTGT